GGGGGAAAGGGGGGAAGGGGGGGAATGGGGGAAAGGGGAACCGGGGAACGGGAACGGGGGAACGGGGGGAACGGGGCTCCCAGGGGAAAGGGGAACGGGGCTCCGGGGCTCCTGAGGGAATGGGGCTCCCGGGGGAACGGGGGGAACGGGGCTCCGGGGCTCCCGGGGGGAACGGGACTCCCAGGGCTCCCAGGGGGAACGGGGGGACCCCCCGGCTCACCGTCGCTTTTGGGGTTGCCCAGCACCTTCATCACCTCGGCGTTGGTGGGGTTCTGGCCCAGCGCCCGCATCACGTCCCCGCACTGGCTGAACAGGATCTTCCCGTCGCCCGTGCGGTCGAAGAGCTGGAACGCCTCCTTGAACTCTGCGGGACCCCCGGGGCGGTCAGAGACCCCCGGGACCCCCGGGGTGAGTCAGGGACCCCCGGGGTGAGTCAGGGACCCCCGGGGTGAGTCAGGGACCACCGAGGCGGTCAGGGACCACCGGGGTGAGTCAGGGACCCCCGGGGTGACTCAGGGACCCCCAGGGTGACTCAGGGACCACCGGGGTGAGTCAGGGACCCCCGGGGCGGTCAGGGACCACCGGGGTGAGTCAGGAACCACCGGGACCCCTGGGTAAGTGAGGGGCCACCGGGACCCCCCGGGGCAGTCAGGGACCACCGGGACCCCTCCCCAGGGTCACCACGGGACCACCGGGACACCGGGACCTTCTCCAGGGTCAGAGGCCCAGGGACCCCAAACCCCGCGGGACCCCCGTGACAGCAGCACCGGGACCACCGGGACCTGCCCCGGGTCAGCACGAGACCACCGGGACCCCCCCTCAGAGACCTCAAACACACCCGGGACCCTCCCTCAATCTCAGCGGAGCCGTGACCACCGGGCACCGGCAGCCCCGGGGCACAGCGACCCCGGTGTTAGTACAGCCGGGACCCCCGTGACAACACCACCGGGACCCCCCGGGAACACCGGGACCACCCCCGGTACTCAGCACCTCGGGGAGCCCGGAGCCGCATCCCCGGGACCCCGGACTCCTTCAGACCCCCCCTCTGCGGCCGCGGGTCGGGTTTCGCTCTCCGCTGGGATCCGGTTCCCGCCGGGATCCGGTTTCCCGGTAGGATCCGGTTCCCGCTGGGATCCGGTTCCCGGTGGAACCCGACCCAGCCGGGATGCGGGTCGGGCCCTGCCCTCGGGGATGCTGCCGGTGCCCGCTGGATCCCGGCGGGTCCCGGGAGGAGCCCGGCGGGTCCCGGGGCACCGGGAGCGCTCAGGAATGCGCGGCTCCGCCCCGCAGGAATGCGCGGCCGGCGCGCGCCTTGCCCAAATAAGGGCAAATTGGCCAAGAAGGGCCCGAACCCCCCCGGTGTCCCGGTTCCGGTCCCTGTCCCGGTCCCTGTCCCGGTCCCTGTCCCGGTTCCCGCCCCGGTTCCCGCCCCGGTCCCGCAGCCCCCATCCCCGGTCCGAGCGGCTCCGCCCGGGCCGGACTCTGCCCCGGAAAGCCCCGCCCGAGGCCGCGCAGGAAGCACCGGGAGCGGCGGGGCCGGGCCGGG